TTTGCAGCGGAATATGGTCATAAATGGATAAAAAAAACTGGTGGTAACTTATTTCTCAGATTTTATACGAGGAACTTTTCATATGATAGCCTATTGTAATATATTATTTTATTTAACAAGTAAAACTAATGGTGTATTTAGAGCTTAAATGAAAAAAATTATAAGTTCCCAAACAAGATCTGCCAAACGCACACTAACTTAATAGAGAGAATAAGATTGCAGAATTAGGCTCACATTTGCTGTTTGCACGATGTAAGCAACCTCCGGTAGATATGCATGACAACTTTTGCAGATGATATATTCTCATTTCTTAATTCTCTGTAGCACCTCTGCTCAAGAGAAGTTGTGATCTGATCATAAAATAAGCATGCACTAAATTAAATTTCTGCACTTGGCTGAGCCCAATCATAGGGTTGGCTAGGTGAATTCTTTAACAAAAGTCTAAATATATAGAAGAGAAGATTCTAGCAAATTTGAGTCCAACAACACAACTGTGTGTATTTTAGTCCAACCTTAGGTATACGAAGCGGATTTTTTGAGGCATATTCGCATAATTTGTTGATCATTCGATCGTTTGGTTGCTGATCCTGCCAATGTTAAGAGGGAATTTAGCAATACAGCCAATAATAATGCAAGCAGTCAAATTCCAAGCAAGATTGAACCAATAAATCAAACAAGATAAAAATTTGTAAGGGGATATTTCCATAAATAAAAACAAAAACAACACATTTCTTCATCCATCGTTGCTGTTTCCAAAAAATATGACTCCTTCCCTCCTAAATTAGTTATTTCTCGCCTATATTCTTTTCTTAAGATTGAAGAGTCCTGCTCTTAGCCTCTTAGTATAAAACATGGGTACTCTCATTTTTGCATATGATAAATGTTTCAATCCTAATTGCTGTGATCTTTTAAACTAATAATGTGATCTATATGTTCATTTGGAGGGTTTAGGCTGTTCAAATTACTAGTTCTGTCCTAAACAGAATTGTGGGATGTTGAGGGATAATGAAGATGGACGAACCGGAGAGCGAGGGAAGATGTCTGCGAGCATCTTCTTGTAACGCTTCAGGGGATGACGCGACCGCGGCCGCATCGCCGGGCAAAAGACGCAGAGCTGATCGCACGCCGGCATGACCTGCCGCGAAATCATCGCCATAAATCTTCAATCCAGAATCGATCTCTTCAAATCCTTCTTTAGTTTTCCGATTCTGGATTAAAACCAGAGACTAAAACTTCCCAGAGGGGATTGGATTCCACAATGGGACATACGAGTGTTTTTTTGTTTCTTTAGGTAATGGAAATGGAAAGGCCGGAGCCGGAGGAGGGGAGATCGGAGAACAGAAATAGGGCCGATCTCCTACTTCCTCGAATGGCTCCTGAAGATAGAGCGCATCAAATAAAAACAGAGAGGGACAGGAGAGAGAAAGAGAAGAGAGAAGCATGCTTATACGAGAGCTTCTCGCGAATTTGCATGGCTTGTCGTCAAGCATTGTCGCTGGTCTTCTACGTGACACGAAAATGGAGGACATAATAACAACCAACCAGCCGCTACTCCGAGAGGCGCGACAGAACTTTTGCATGAATTTGCCCGTTGAGTATACGTTCTATGTTGTATACCTCGAACTGGTATGAGATTTGATGCCATCACTTTGTTTTGCTTTGAAAATTGAAGAAAATTTTGTTTGTATTTATTTCGATTTAGTTTGAGATTAGACTAGACCATATTTGATCATATCATTTTTCAACGATTATAAAATACATATAGATCAGGGATATTTATTTCTAACACATGTATTTACAGGATTAATTCAGATTAGATCATACTAGACTAGAAATTTTCAGACCAAGTAAGTGATAGGTGACCTAAGACGGATCATAAATTTGTGTTACGAATGTTTGTACTTACATTTATTTCGATCTCAGATCACATCGTAACATACACAGAGATTAGACATTTACCAGGTCAAACAAGACTATTATAGATCACACCGGACCATGCCATCATATACAATTTTAATCCAAACAAAAACATCCTAAACCACGCAATGTATTAAATTTGAATAACAACGGGGTGAGACAAATTGGGAACTAAAAGACTTAGACTATTAGGAAAAAAATTAAGTTGTCTTAAGGCACATTATGAGCCTGTTTGGCAACACGAAAATCGGCTGTTTTGACTGATTCTGCTTAAATTTATGAAGTTCTGGCTGAAGTGACTGCATTGGTTGATTCTGCTGATACAAGAAAAAAATATTTTTAAAATATATTTTATTAATAAAATAAAGAAAAAAGTATATGTAAAAATAGCTAAAATGATCATCTAGAGTAACTTCAGCCAATACAGCCAGAAAAGTAACTCCAACCTTACTTTTTCGGCTTATTACACAATTCAGCGCGCGAAAGCAAAGTTTACGTGTTTGATAAAAAAATTGGTTGATAAGCCTGATGAGCCGAAAATGAGGGTTGCCAAACGGCCTCTATAACTTATGTCAGCTTAATTTGCATTATTATTGGAAGCAGCGGAAGTGAGCGCAACTTTGCACTGAGTTTGGGCGCCGCATAGTAGGTCGGCTAGTTGGTGGTCGATTTGTGCTTCTTCTTCTGAGGTGATTGTCTCAGTCTAATCGTAGGGCGTTTCTTGAGTCTAGATGCATTTGTTGAAAGATAGGTGATGGATTTGGAGCTATTAGTTAATTGCAACTCTCGATTCATTTTATATTTTAATATAAGTCCAGTTTATTTAAAAAAGACACATTATAACTCTAGTGTACATCATCCCTGACTTCATAGCCAATTAACGTGACAACTAGTTTGTGAAAAATGGGTTCCGATTCATCTTAATAATGAATTTAGGATATGAATTGGATTTTTTTTATTAAAGGCGGATTGAGCAATGAGGGACGATATATTGGCCTATTGACCCTTTCTCCTTTTCAACTTATCTTGACTATAATTTGTTTTTCAACTAATTTCGAGTTTCACAAATTAACATTATGATTAAAAAAGTAAGGCTCGCCAAAAACTTTTGTGCCAAACATGACCTTAGAGTTCATATACACATTTTTTCTGTGCAAAAAGTTTAAGCATTTAAAACATAGGTTCAAACTTGGTAGTCTCTCGATCTCTCGTCATCACTATATAGGTGTATTGGGTTCAGTTTTCTCGGACTTTCACTTTCTCTAAACCTCTTCCAAGTTCTAGTGATTTCATTTCCTATTACTTTTATACATACATAGATAGAAAGCACAACAACAGAAGTAGTATGAACATTGAGATGGTTGAGGTGACTTTATGTGTTCGTAAAAAACAGGAGCACATCACACGCTGAAGTGCATTCATGGTACTGAAACTATTGTTTATACAATCCAAGGCACCACACATATTATATCTATTCATTTTGAACTCGAAATTCCAGTGAATGACCCGTCAAATGACTCTGTGATAATATATTTGTTTCACATTTGCTTGCTAATCATATTCCACATGCTCGCAGGAAACACATCAACATTGAATATCACTTTGTTAGAGAAAGTATTGCACGTGTGGATCACTGGATCTTGTTTTATTGAAAGGAAATTGTCTATATCTGCACCATTAGTTTCTGGATCATTACATCAATCAAAGAAAATCATACCCAACATACAGACACCAACTAACATCCAGCAACAACGGCTGTAACTCTGATTAGATATAGAGACGGTCACCCTTGAAAGAGCGACTCGAATTGCTAACCACGAAACGGACTTGACACATCTATCACTGACGGTATAGATCCATATACTCCTAATGACATAACAATAATCTATGTTTTCAATTATCCCGGCAACCCAAGCAACATAGACTTTAACAAAACTTCAAACAACAAAATAACAATAGCTAGTAGGATAAATTTCTCGAACCTTAACACCTCGTTTAACACATTGCGGTGTTTCAGGAGGAGACCAGGCCATAAGTACTGATGTGATTGATCTTCCATCGCCAACCGAACTATGGCCTTCATCAAACCCTTTGCTCCCCAACCATCGTTGCCCCCCGTACACGCTTAAGCCGCTGCTCCCTGTTGTCCTGATCATGACACCACGACCTCTCACGACTAAAGCAAGACCTCTGTTCAAGGTCTGAACCATATGTACTCACCTTCTCACCTTAATTACATCCTATGGCTTCCCGTTGATTCGTTGAAGTTGAGAGAAAACAATCATTGAAAAATCTAAATCTCCTACAAAGAAAGCTTCGTGTCACCAACCCTAACCTGCAGACGAGCTGCGCACTGACACTTTGTGGATCTTGTTCTTTATACATGTTCCTATTCAATCTCAACTTGCACGTATATTCACCAAGAATTTAACGGTTTAACATTTTCGGGGTTGCATGTATCAATATGTGTGTTGCCCCTACGGTATGAGAGCATAATAATGTAGAGTTATATCTATTTATAGCTTTTAAGAATCATATGTGTATCATAACTCTATTAATTATTTATATACTTACTCCGTCTAGAACTCATAATCAATCTGAGAGTTTCAAAGTTGAGTGAAGATAAAGATAAAAATCATTATGCGGATAATTAAATCAACTTTAATAATCAAATTTTACATACCGAAAAACTGCATTTGAAATTCTATATCGTAGCAAAATTCAATTTTGATTATAATAAAATATTGATATACTCCGTATTAAATACGTAATTAAAATGAAATCATGTTAATTTAACTAAAAAAATGATTTTACAAATATTTAGAGGAAGGAAACCTAACTACTAGTATTTGTTTACTATTCTCACAATCTCACGCTTTATGGCTAGCAGACACTGGAAAGTGTAAAGTATCATGTCACCGGTGGGCGTAGTTCATCTGTTAGCAAGGAAGTGCCACAAGGTTAGGTTTCAGCTTCGAATCCCGGTAACTGCGATAAGAGTTACTATGCTAAAAATGCATAGAATCTGTGTCCATCATATTGGAATTTAAATCCTCGGAACTTAACCTGAGGTTGGGGCCTTTTTTTGTAAAGTATCACGTCCAATGGATGGGGACACCAAAGAGCTCCATCTCGAGGGTTAACAATGAGATCCACAGGGCTTAGTTTATTTGCTTCATTAACTCCTTTTCATTCTGTAATTCTTAAAGAGCGTGGCAGATTTTCATCAAATTTGTGTTATACGAATTCAATAAAGTCAAAGGAGTTGCACTCTTACAATCAAAAGTTCGAATTGAATACCGAATCTGTAATGGGTGCCGAGCGCTATCTTCCTCCCTGGTTTAGGTGGGTGTCTATGATGGGTTGGCTTTTTTGTTATGTTATAATTATGGATTTGTTGCACTCTTACCATCTAAGGCATTAATGTTACAATGGACAGTGTTGCTCCAATGATGGAGTGGACAGATAGTCACTACAGAACTATGGCCAGGCTCATCTCAAAACATGCGTGGCTCTATACTGAAATGCTTGCGGCGGAAACAATTATATACCAGAAGGGAAATTTGGTAACATTCTGCACAAAGGGGATCCCTTTTGGAATTCCAAAACTCATCATTTAGAAGCAGTAAGGATACGTTTGGATACAGGAAAATGCTAGGGAAAGGGACACAAGCATTTACGGAAGATGTTTTTTTAATTTTGCTTTACCTTGGAAAATGCAAACAGGAAATAAACATGATTACTTTTCAAAAGTTTTACATTAATTGAGATTCTTCATGCTTATATAGCAGCAACAAGTAAATAATAAAATTAGTTTGAGCAAATTTTTAAATATATTTATTGAGTTTGAGAGTTTGGGTTCCAAGTGAACCCTCAAAATGCTAAAGTGGAAAGCTTTTCTGCCAACTCGAGATTTGTTTATGGTGTTAAAAAAAACTCTTGCTGCTGGCTGCTCTAGTACTTCAAGTTCTTGCATATTTCACATTCAGTAACTAGGTCTATGATACTTAAGTTGCATTGTTTAGTTCTTCTAATGTTACTAGTTACTAGTGTAAAAACAACCTTTATTTCACACTTTGCTATGCATGTGTCTTTCAGAGTGATTTCACACGAGCTATGTGTAATGTATGTAATGTATGTAAGTTCAGATATATCTGACCCTACACATTTCATAATGAATTTATTATCAGGATAGGTTCTTGGCATATGGACATGAGCAGCATCCTATTGTACTTCAAATTGGCGGAAATGACTTAGGAAATCTGGCAAAAGCTACAGAACTAGCAACTCCTTACGGCTACGATGAGATCAATTTTAAGTTTGTTATGCTTCTCTTGAGGCCATATGTGTTTTTAGTTTCTACCACTTCTTGTGCATAAATGGCCAAGATATTTTTTTATCTTTGCAGTTGTGGATGCCCCAGCCCCAGGGTAGCTGGACACGGGTGTTTTGGGGCCCGCCTCATGCTTGATCCAAAGGTGTGAGCATATTTGCTTGACTGTGTATTTGGTTCTATTATATGTGTGTGTATTCAGATCGTTTGATTAATTTATGATTGTCTTTATTGCAAGTGAAGTTTGTTGCTGAAGCTATGTCAGTTATTGCTTCTCATACAAATGTGCCTGTTAGTGTTAAATGCAGAATAGGAGTTGATGACCATGATTCATACTACGAACTCTGTAAGCCATCTCATTTTTTTCTGTTTCAATCTAAGAAAGATAACCTAGAAATATTTAATATATAGTTTAGTAAGATCTAATGAGTAATGAGTAATGTAGTGTACTGTAAATTACACTAAAATTACTCTGTATATGTTATTACAGTTGACCAAACTACACCTTAGTGCTTAAGAGATTCATTTTGTGAATTTTCAAGGGTGCAACTATGCCATCATACAAATAAAATCATATTGAGTTTATCAAATCAACTGTCAACTTTATAAGCTTTTATCTTTGTGTGAGCAGCTGGATTCGTTTCAGCTATATATAACTCATAGTTTCATTAATATCTGTTACAGAGTATATGCCAGGGACTTCATGGAATCTGACAAAGTATTTCTCTTTTAAATGTACAGGCGACTTCATTTACAAAGTTTCTTCACAGTCTCCAACTCGCCACTTTATTATACACTCCCGTAAAGCATTACTTAATGGAATAAGTCCAGCGGATAATCGAAAAATACCTCCCCTCAAGTATGGGTTCAGTTATTTATGGCCATGTCATAAGTTGTTCAAAGTCAAATTGTAGAGCATATTTTCTTTTCAATGGATGTGATTAGATTATATATACAGTGTGCAACTGTTACTTATTTTCGTGCAGATATGAGTATTTCTACGCTCTCTTGCGTGATTTTCCTGACCTACAGTTTACAATAAATGGGGGCATAAATACCATTAATGAGGTAATACATTTTTAAACAAAATGTGCTTCTTTTTTCTTAATTTGTGTGTTTATGGTCTTTTATTCTTTATGGAGACTATAGTTTAACTTTGACTTATGAGACTTTATCTCATTTTCACAAATGTGTGGTATGGATTGTTTATCTGTTTATTTCAAATACTTCCTCCGTCCCGAATTGAATTGCAAACGTTGACCGGCACAAAGATTAATGAATGACAATAAATGATGCTTGCTTTTTACACTTTTGCCCATCTTTCTAAAAGTAGATGTCTTTAAGTTAATGAGGAAAAAGTAAAAGTAAGGGTAAATTTGTCACTTTATTCTTATTTACATACCTAAAATAGAAAGTGGAAAACCATTTTGGGGCAACCAAAATATGAAATTTTGCAAATCAAATAGGGACGGAGGGAGTATATGTAGAACCTTTTTTTCTCATTGAGTCATTGTTATAGCTTGCCACTGTTAATTTGGGGAAGAGCAAGCATAGTCCCATGTTATATATCTTATTCACTTAGGGCCTTAACCAATAAGACAACCCCAATTTACAGATAAATGCTGCTCGGAGCGAAGGTGCTCATGGGGTGATGGTAGGACGTGGAGTATACAACAAGTATGCTCTTTCAGTATTTTTTTGGAATTTTGGAATTGTCATGTGTACACGATAAGGAAAACCACAGTTCTAGTTGAATTTCACTGATACATACTTGTTTCAAATAATAAAGAACTTACTAGTCATATTGTTATTTTAATTGAGTACCTAGTGAAGACTTCTCTGATGCAAACTTTTAAATTTCCAAATACTTGTATATTGACACTCTCCCAGTTCACATATTCCTTTTAACCGGAGAAAGTGATTGCATTGCGGTGAAAAATGGCATATAGATTGTGGTGGCATTGACCTATTTCTTCTGACAGTCCATGGCAGCTTTTAGGAAATGTTGATAGCGCAGTATATGGTGCACCGCGTAGTGATCTGACCCGCCGACAGGTTCTTTTCCAGAACTTGTCCTTCTATATGATTATAGATATGGGCTGAGAAAGGCTGAGGGAACGAGGGGGAAGAGGTTCAGGAAATAGAGAAATCACCCTTCAAGATTATGATTGAGGATAACTCTGATACTCTCATTTGAAGGGCATTTTGTGAAATTCATAACATTCACTGAAGCTTTTCGTGAACCTTTTGCCGCCTCGAACTTAATTGCTTCTATATTGTGCATCTGATAGACATTTTTCCTGCACACACCCTAATCTCTCATGTAACTACTTAGGTCCTGGAGAAGTATCAGGCTTATGGAGATTCAGTGCTGAAAATATATGGACAAGGACCCACCATCAGGGATGTTGTCAAGGTACAAGACTTGTTTGTCTTTTAGGTTTATTATTATTATCAACTTCATATTCATAGTAATTTAGTTTGCACGCATAGAATGCAAATATGTTTGCTACTTTATTAGTGCTTAATGAAATTTAAGTTGGAACGTGTCCTATGTGTTTCCTTATTATGTTCATAAATATGCTTTGTTTGTCAGAATTGGATGTTATGATCTGTGCCTTCGTTTTCCTCCATAATCTGATAAGTTCAATGGGGGTACAATGCAGCCTTTGCTTGGTCTGTTTTATTCAGAGCCTGGAAATAGTCTTTGGAAGCGCAAAGTTGATGCTGCTTTCCAACACTGCACTGTATGTATTCTACCCTGCTTTCTCTTCTAGTTTGTGGTTTTTCTGGACACATTGTCCCTTCAACTATATGTGTGTGTGTGTGTGTGTATATATATATATATATATATATATATATATAGAGAGAGAGAGAGAGAGAGAGAGAGAGAGAGAGAGAGAGAGAGAGAGAGAGAGAGGGATGGATGGATGGAGGGGAGAGATCTTACCTTTCCATCTGGATGGGATCCCGATTTTTTTACTCATTAGTAATTAGTCTATTAGTGTCAATTGTCAGATAACCAAAGAAAAGTGAGTTTTTAGGGTCTACCTTCGAAGAACATATTTAAGTTTTAACAGCTGAAACTGGATCATTGATTTCACTTTTTGCCAAAAATGAAGTTGGCGTGACGGGATTCCTAACAGGACTGACTAATAAGAATTGTGTGTGTACACGTGTGCGGTGAGCCACTGATAGGTTGAAAAGGATTTAACAGACGAGCTCTTATTTACTTTTTAATCGGGGTACTCAATTCCTCATTAGTACTGAACATAATTTCTTCTCCATTATGTGTACTCCTCAATTTCTTTTTTTTCATTTCCTTTTCTTTTGGTTCACGATTTGTTAAAATGGGGTTTCACACTTGCAGACTGTAAAATCCCTTCTTGAGGAGTCAATTGTGGCCATACCTGACCACATTTTGGATTCTCCTGTTGCTGAGATGACAACTGGCTCTTCGAATGCTTTTACCATTGCTAAGGGTATTCTGCCTACTCCGTATAGAATCAGAGAAGAAGAAACGCTGTATTCCTAGACTGCTCGACACTCTTACTTTATTATGCTATAACATATTCATCGCAGCTTGCATGGCATAGGCCTAACTCTTCGGGATTAGTAAGTGATCAGTCCCGTTTAGTTACACAGGTATATCCATACATGTGACTTTTTGTTTGGGTGCTTCTTGTAAAACCCGGTGATCCGTATACCTGTATAATGCTTTCGTGGATTCAAATACTTGAATGAATACAGCCTTCTGTAACAAATCCTGCTGGTTCTAGCAGCAGAAGTTAGAAGGATCAAATCATCAATACTGTATGTATTTTCAAGATCATGTACTGGTTAAATTGAGAAGCACTTCACCTCATGATTATGAAAACATGCATTTTATTGCAATCTCAATTGTTTCTCAACCAAGAAACAAATTATAAGATGGGCCTTTTGTTAGGACAGAGCAGGGGTGCAAGTGTGCAACTAGGCATGGACACGGGCCGGTTCCGGTCCTAAAAATAATTAGTCAGGCTCGAGACTGAGACCTACATTTCCGATTCCGGGCTGATTCCGGTTCACCTGTCATTTGCGGTCCCATTTTTTTCTTAAACGCTCAATGCCCTTGCCCACTCCCTTCCCTGCCTTTTTAAGCTTTTAAGTTGTTTCCTGACGGTAATGCAAAAAAAAAAAGAGACCGAAATCAGGACCGGTTGGTCCAGCTCCCCGAACTCGCACCCTGTCTCAAACTCTCAGATTTGATGCGTAATGCCGGAATCTGAAAACCAGTCCCAAGACCTTGTCCACCCTTAGGTGCAACTGGTTCTGGAACCAGACAGATAAATTGCCCACTTTGGACTTATTAAGGTCTGGGTTTTGGTCTCGACTTTTCCTGAAATTCCAGGTCTGGGTTTTGGTCTCGACTTTTCCTGAAATTCCTGGTTTCGAGTAGGGAGGTGGAGGAACCTGCCCGAGTCTATCCCTAGGACTGAACTTGTGCGCGAGAAACAATATTATTAATAACACGGCAACATTCCTGGACTTTTAGGGCCAGTTTTGTTGGGGGATTTTGGAGGAGACAGGGGAGGATTGATTTTTTACTTTATTAATTCATCTCAATTTGTTAGTTTTAGACTACAAAAAACTATATAATTAGTTAGGCCATATATTTTTATATGCTATTTCTTCTTCACTTCATTTCAAATTTTCTTAATGTAAAATTTATTTTAAACATAAATATGACTTCTACCTGAAATCCCCAAGACACGTCATTTTAGATGAACTTAACAACATAAGAATTTGAAGTATAGTACTTTCAACTTTAAAATGTGGACAATAAGTGGAGGCAGTCCATCACTTTAACAAGAATGAAATTATGAATGTGTGTTGCTAAAAATTCTTAAGCATCGAATTCAAAGCGGAAGTGGGGCGGTGGCATGGTGATCTCAAACACAACGTGGGAAGACATCTCCTTCAATGATTGGAAGAACTAGTGAACATGAAGCCTTGACTTCTTGTTCTTTTACGCCACTTAATGTCACATTTTCCAACTCTATATCTTGGCATGAGTACGTTTTGCTGCAGTTGAATAATATAGCCACATCACTTGCACTTGTTCCTGTTATGTTTTTATATAGGACACTTCTTATGTTTACAGCGTTTTTCTGACAAAAATAGAGAAATAATCAATTCCTTGATGTATAAGTTTATGATATTAGAAACAAAACAAAACATGATTGGACTAATGAGCAATTAATTACCTGCTCATCGCATGCACCAATTCCGAATTTCGCACAATAGAACTGATCTATGATTATGGGATTCATCACATTATCCATTTCTATGTTTTCAAATGTAATGTTGTTTGCCATTCCTTTCCCGCCCTATTGTACACATTCAATTAATTGCAACCTTGGAGGATAAATGTAAGTAAATAAATATAATGACTGCATTTACTGATGATTATAATAGAGCTTAAGACGTTTTCATATATTTAACTGATATAGGATTGAACAAAGCAATTTTTGAAAAGTACACACCCTTTCACGGTGTAATATTGTTTCTGAAAGGGGAAATATATACCCCCTCAGTCCCAAATTGTAAGATACATTTACTATTCACTTGGTCAACATAAATCACTCTTAAAGTTTAAGAATACATAAAATAAATATTCCGTACAAGTTTAAGAATTTAAAAAGTGACTTTATAAATACCTGCCAGGTCTTTATTCTCACCCCATTACTTGTTCCTTTAAATTTGGCTCCTTTGACTACAATGTCGGAAACAGATTCAGTCTCTTGATTACCTAGTCGACCTAAGCTTCCAATACTATATATTCACACACAAGAAACATAGCTTTAAAACTGATTGACTATAGCGACGTAAAATTCACTCAAGTGGAAGATGATTGAAACTAGCATGTCCAAAAGCTTGATTACGGATTACCTGATTCCATGCCCTGGCCCGCAATTAATGTCAAGAATTCTAACAGATGATGTTCTGTTCACTATTGAAATACAATCGTCACCTGACACGGTTTGACAAAATTCAAGATCAAGTTGAGTCACTCAATGCTCTTGGTCAAACCAACTAAACATTTAACATTGAATCCGAAAGATTAGGTAAATGATCCTAAATATCTTTATAAACACATCACTCTTTCTTTGTAACATTAGTACCTACCCGTATGATAAATTCACCTCATTCGACAAACTTACCACTGAGAGGCCGTTTGGCAACCCTCATTTTCGGCTTATCAGGCTTATCAGCCAACTTTTTTACCAAACACGTAAATTTTGCTTTCGCGCGCTGAATTGTGTAATAAGCCGAAAAAGTAAGGTTGGAGTTACTTTTCTGGCTGTATTGGCTAAAGTTACTGTAGATGACCATTTTAGCTATTTTTACATATAATTTTTTCTTTACTCTATTAATAAAATATATTTTAAAAATATTTTTTTCTTGTATCAGCAGAATCAGCCAATGCAGCCACTTCAACTAGAACTTCATAAATTTCAGCAGAATCAACCAAAACAACCGATTTTCGTGCTGCCAAACGGGCTCTGAGTCAACCATTGTGTGCATATCGTCTCAACTTCTGAAGTTAAATGACTATTACATCGTTCTAAAATGTAATTGCAAGTGTGTGAACACTCTCCAATTAATCACTTCTCTATGTAGCCTCAAGGTCAATGTAGACTCTAACTACAAGTCTACAATAGTGTAGAGCCCACTGGTAAGTGGTAGATGGATACGAGGGGCTGCACTACAGAGTGGTGGCAGCAGTTTGAACAGTTAGTCCTCGGCTAATTACGCTCTTCCAAGTTAAGGGGTAGTGCTAACCTTAACCAACACTAACAATGCTATAAAATGGCAGCACAACAAAATAAAAGGTAATGCGTAGTGATCTATTGAATAGCTGTCCCATTTCAATTACAATAGCTACTAGATTTCTGCAAAAAGAAAAAAGTGGTTAAGAGAAGCTGACATTGTTTACCTGTTTTAATGGTTGAATGGGTGATACTAATATTGTGGCTCCTAGATATATGAATCCCGTCGGTATTAAGGCTGTCAAAAGGAGCTTCAATATTGATCCGTGAGAGTTCAACATGTCGAGTTATATTTAAAGTGAGATGCATTTTTTGCGCATTTGTAAACCATAAGTTTTCCACCTTCAAGTTCGTGCAATTCTCAAACATGACTGACTGTTCCCCGAAGACAAAAACACAACACAGCATAGTTTAAATAATGCCAGTGATAATGAAATAAAAATGATAAAATTAATGTACAGATTCCACCTGGATAGTGGTGAATCCAATATCAACCGCTAACCAATCCTCAGATGTGTTTTATAGATTAAGGTAAGCAGGATAACTTACAAATGGTATTGAACCGTTATCACATTGCTGCAGAAACAAAAGAAGAGCAAGCAGGAATGAAGTGCCAGCACAATCCAAACAAAAAATGAAAGCATAACATATTTTTATCTGATTTAGTCTTTTGGAGTATGCACGAGTCTAACTTGATATTAGCATTTATTAAATAATTCTTTAATTCACATTTACACAAGGTGAGATAACTCCTTGCCTGTTTGGGATAAATAAGAGTGAAGCATACTTTAATACAAGTGTTAAACAAAACTCACCACTTAAAGAGCTTTTTAAGGTTGAGTTAAAAAGGTATGGAATAATTACTAGTGACTCGTTTGCACTCAAATTTAAGGGTCTCGTCTCTAGTCTGCCCTAAGTTTTTAGTTTGACTAGTTTCGGTCCTAGATCAAACCAGAACAAACCAAACCAGACTTGAACAAACACGACCAACCCAGACTCGACTTAAATAGATCGGACCAGGCTAAACCCTACTTAAACAGTCCAGATCAGACCATAAAATTTCGATCCAATTAAAAACATCTTAAGTCTGTTTTGGTATGTTCTTTTGAAGTATGCTTTATGATGTTTTTCACTTGACTATTTTAGAATGTTTTTACTTGGACTGTAATTTGCTGGTCTGGTCTGGTTTCTTTGTATTTTTATAACTATCCAAGTCTGGTCTGGTCTGGTCCGGGAGGAATTACAATCCAAGTAAAAACATCCTTAATCTCACACAAAACAAACTTGACCATACTCTCACACAAACCAAATCTCACCAAATTTAGATAAAAGTCAAACATACACATATATGGTAATACATAATCTTTACCGAGCAGACCAGACATAGTTAATGGTACAATACACCAGAACAAACCTAAACAGACAAGTCAAGACTAGAATTATACAGACAACCCAGCCAGCTCAAATGAGATAACTGAGGTGTAAAAATTTCTCTCCAAGTGAAAACACATTTAGTGTAGTTTGGTCTGTTTTGATAAGGACTATGAATGAAACAAGTACTACATATAAGTGTTTTTTTAAAAGAGAGAATTCCTTAAATAGGACTAAAACAAGGATAAAATTCATAAATAGGACTATTATTGTTTTATTCCTGAATTTTGACTCATTCACTCCTATTTTGGGTGGGAAGTTTTTATCAAATTATTCTTTTAATAGGGCTAAAATGCTATATAAGTCCCATTTGGGGAATAAAACATACTTAGTCATATTTTTGAACTTTCAAAATGGTATGATATTATATTGAGGAATTTCTACTTTTAAAATTTAAACTTACTGAATGCAGCTGGTTGTTCAAGGAATTGCAAGACTGCTTCCACCAGTGTTTCCCATTGCCATCTATGGTGCCTCCTCCTCCAACATTGAAGTAGTGCAGGCCCCGAAAAAGCATCCAGTTTAGCCTCCCACTAGTTTCATACTCTCTTTTGTCCGGCCAAGCTTTAATTGTCCCTTCTATCTAATCCAGGCCATTTTGGACAGCAAAAGAACAGAAAATTAATAAGTAATCAAGTATATATTCTAAAATTAGGCTCTTATTACGAAGAACCTTAGGTCACCTTCATTGTAAGATTCGGGTTGCAGGGTCCATCAAAAGAGATTGGCTTCAGAAAATACGTCCCCATAGGAATCAACAGCAGTCCCGCTTTGGTATGACAAAATATATCCCAAGCTCTTCTAAACGCCTAATAAACCCCACAATGGGGATGAATTTAACATCAAAGTATATAGAAATTATCATATAATGTGGTCTGGCATATACATACTTGGGAATCATCATCTCCTTGAGTGCCGAACTGATCTACACTGATGACAGTTCGCTCATCATCAGAAAGGGAGCAATCTAAGCATGAAATGGAGCAGATTATTGTTATGAATATTATTAATGGGCTTCTCACGAACATTTTCCAAGCTAGCTTTGTTCCGCCAAAACTCGCCGACGCCGAGCCAGATAAACTTTTCTTTCGTTTGAAGATAATACGAAGTATGCACTATACAGTACTCCGTATAAGATACCTAACGGTCTGAATGTTATAAATGCTGGTTGGTAACTTTGGAAATGGTAGGCCATAAGTCAGTCAAAGACTCCAAGACAATACTACGTAATATTCTCCTAATTTAAAAATGTTAAATAAATAGTGGCACTATTTCTAAATAGGAAAAACGTGGGGAGGTCCCCAACATAGATTCTGGGGAATTTCATCAAAATCTGGATTTGTATGGATTTCAATAACTATCTAATTTCATGGATTTTAAAAGATTTGGATGAATTTTCATGCCAAATAATAGAACAACACAATCTCACCACTAACTCTCGGATTTCCAAATTCATCGAGTAAATAAAATCTTCCTTATGCATCCTTCGCCAAATCGGAACTATTCTTCTTCATGGACTTCAACACCAACGCCTTCTGGTCTGCATCGTTGAAAGCATAATCAACTTTCGATGATTTATATCTTCCTTATGCCTTCTGGCGATGAAAGCAGTAATAATACTTGGACAATGATACCTTGATGAATCAACCTTCATGAATCAACCCTCGGATTATAACTTGACAATCATATAAATTGTTTCGATAGCTTCATGGAAATCTTCGACATTAGTGAGTGAGAACATCCATCCATTAACCTATTGATGGATAGTGTACCCGGGGTAGCTTATCCGAGGGGTTATTACGAGGAGTAAGAAGAGAGAAGTCAGAGCAAGTAAGTAGAGAGAGAAAGTATATTATGAAGTGTGGAGCGTTTTCAGCGTTTTTTACTTGGTTACAAATGGGGAAAATGAGTGCTATTTATAGTAGCAATAAATGCCGGGCAGGGACACGTGTCAAGCGTCCATTGACCGAGAGGTCACCTCATCTGGTTGGCGCTGGCAACCGCATGTGGCCGCATTTAATGCGGCTGTTGGAAGGGACGTTTGTACAGGGTACAGTGATCTGTACGCATGTGGTGTGGATATCATGTCGGGCAGGGTGCCCTCGGCTGTAGAGGACTAGCCGAAGGCTCTGAGTTCCGGGGACCCCTAGGTGTCGAGGGCTCCAGGTGCCGATGGCTACTGATTTTCGCCGTTTTTTCGAGTTTCTCAGTTTGCTTGAGAAACCCGTTCTGTGAGAGTTTAGAGCCTTCGGCCAGGGGGCCGAAGGCACCCCTAATGCGCATTGCGGGCTGCTTGGTACTCTGGGGCGCTGTAATTTGGGCCTGTTGGGCCTTCTGGGCCTGTCGGGCCTTTACTGGAGTAGTAGGAGTCTGTGGGCCGGGTGTTCCCGGGCCATATACTCCATCAGGAGTCCCTCACTCCTTTTGCCGAAAGGTACTTGAGGGAAAAGGAGTAATTTGTGCTTGCCCTTTGATGTTGTCCCGTTGTTATCTCTGAGGTTGGTGAGGAGTCGTTGCTTTCATGTCCCTGTCGAAGGCAGTCCCTCAGTTACCCACATGTCGGGACTTGAGGGATTGCTTTGCCGTTTGTTGGAAATTTTCACCATTTTGTAATTTAATGATTTTCCCGAGGGGGTCCTCCAGTCCCCCACTCCTTGAGGCACTTGTAAAGTGGTGAAAAGGAGTAGAGTAGTTGCGCTGCTGTTGTGGGCCGAAGGATGACGCTTTTCGTTTCATTTTGGGGGGATGCCTCGTTAAAAACCTCATTAGGAAAAACCCTGGGGGAAAAAATCCTAATGAGGGAAAAAGAGTGCACCGAATTCCCCCAACGATGAATCGAAAATGTGAAACCTTGGTAAAAAATGGAGAATAATGGTAATGCTGAAGGCTCTCCTTGTTCTGAGGGCTCATGTGTTGAGTAGCCGGAGGCTTGCTGTTGATGTCCTGGGAGGTGCCGAAGGGGAGCCCCTCGATCTGGGGATCGAGGGCGTGATGGATGAGGGCAGTAGTTGAATCGTTACCGGGGGTCCCCTGCTTGCTGATTAGTTGGTGATGAGGATATCCGAGGGCTCCCATTACCTGTGTGCCGTAGGCTATCCGTCAATGAGGCATACTCCCCGGGGGCTACCCGGTCCTCATAGTGCCGAGGGGGGATCACCCGAGGGGCGGCCTGATGTGAAGCCTTGGGCTTCTGAAGGAGTGATCCCGAAGGCGTCTGTTATGTACTGTGTGGGGCACAAACCGGGAGCGTCTCTGGGTAAGTGTACCCGGAGGCTGTCCCTGATGAAGTGGAGTGAAGTAAAGAACCCGGGGGCTCCCAGAATATAGCCGTTGGAAATATGGCCGTTGGAATATGTAACGTCAAGATATAGTCGTTGGGGGGGTACACGTGGCGCGTGACGGTTGGCTGTCCGTGGGCGGCGTCACCGATTGGGCGATACCGCGGTCTGTAATGATGGCGATCCAACCGGAGGCCCGGTTTCCAGGCCCAAGCCCGGATCCCAGCGCCTATAAATACCCCAAGGACAGGCCACTCTCCGTTGTGTGATCTCAGTGTAGCGAAGCTCTGGCAAAATTTTTCTAGAGAGAGAAACTTGCCCTCGGTTGAATCCTCAGTTCTTAAGGTCAGCTCTCCATTCGCATTTCACCTCTTAGCTAGCTGTATTGTGCCCTTAGGCTAGGAGATAGAATATTTAGAGAACCCTAGCGTCTACGAGCCTTCGAACTAGAGTCAGAATGTCGTCCCAGAGTGACTCTCAAGACATCTCGGGGGCGCCCTCGATGGAGGATGAAGTCCTCTCGGACGTGGAGTCCTCAAGTGCACAGTGTTCGGTGGGACAGGATGCCGCCGTTGCCCTGGAGCTGCAGAAAGCCCTCGTTGCTGAGGCGGAAGCCGAGGGCTTCGAGCAAGAATATGAGGACGAAGAGCTGGCCCTAGCCTGGCAAGCAGCTGAAGAGGAGGCGCAAAGAGAAAGCGCGAGGGTCACCGTTGCTGTGCTCCCCCCTCGGGGTGCCGGTGAGGCCAGCACCTCTTGGCCGCTGAATGCGGTTCCCATCCGGGTGGCCCCCGGAAAGAAGAAGGCCAAGGCCGCTGCTCCCAAGAAGAAGGGCAGCGTTGCAGACCAAGGGAAGCCCCTCGATATGCCCGAGGGGTATTCATATTTGAACACCGCCGCCTTGGAGATAAGGTCGAAGGCTGATGCGGCGGACATCTACGTCACTCAATTACACGTGGGCCCCTCGGCCATCGTGGTGACACCGGGTCCAGAGTACGTCCTCTCCCGGGCTCCCGAGGGCTGTATAGCGGTGCATGTTCTCTCGGTGTCCATGGGGCTCCGCTTCCCCCTGCACCCTTTCTTCCGGGAGTACCTTCGGTTCGTGGGTCTGGTCCCCTGCCAGCTGACCCCGAACAGCCATTCTTATATTACTGGCTTCCTCCAGCTCTGCAAGTCCCGGGGGGTGACGCCTAGCCTGGACCTCTTCTTCCAGAGCTTTAATTTGTGCCGGGGGGGGGGGGGGGGGGGCACGCGAATGCCGAGGGCTTCGCCAACTTACAGCAGGTGGCCCTCTTCAAGCTCTTTATTGAGGCGCCCTCCTCGAACAAAGGGTGGAAAGACCGGTGGTGCTACGTGAGGCTGACCGAGAGCCCCTTCCCGAGGGAATTGCGTGACCGGTTTAGGAGGCATGAGAAGAGGAGGAGTGCCGCCCTCGAGAAAGACGGCAGGATCCTGGCCAAGATCCCGGAGGGCCGGGACAAAAACATCACCATTAAGGAGTGCACCAAGGAGGAGGATCTCTACACCCTCGGGTTCAGGCGGTATCGCTTCCTGGGGGAAACAGATGAGAAGTTCCCGGCGTTCGAGGGAGCCTCCGGAGGTAGTGGCTGAGGGCACCCTTATTTTATATCTTAGCAGATAGTCCATCTGCTTGTTCGTTTCTTTTTTGTGCCATCTGTTAGTGACTCCTCGATCTTAACCCCATATTGTTTTTGCAGGTGTCAAGATGGATCTCAACGCATTTGCCAACCTCAAAAAACAGAAGGTGAAGGTGCCGGGCCAGAAGGAGCCCGTAAAGCAGAAGCCCCTCGGGGAGACGAAGAAGGGCGGTGAGCCCTCGGGGGAGGCCGCAAAACGAAAGGCCGCCGGCAAGGCCCCAGTCCCCGAGGGGAAGAAACAAAAAAAGGGGACGCCGGGAAGAATGCTCCCCTGGTGTTGGTGGTGGACGAGCATTCCGCCTCGGAGCCCATTGCTCCGACTGCCCCTTGCCCGCCCTCGGGTAAAGGCGGCGAGGTAAGCTTGCCTCGGGAGGACGTACAGTTCTCCCTGCCGAAGGGGTCTGCCATCATGCATGGCACAGTGGACCCCCGGGAATTCCTGGGCGGGGCTACACCCGCTCTGGACAGGCGGGCCCTCGGGAAGCTGGATGATGAAGCCCTCGAGTCCAAAATCCTCCGGTCCTCTCTTACCGTAAGCTCTCCTCCTTCCTTTTTTCTCCCTTCTTTTTCCTTAGCATCGTGGCCCACGACTTTATCTGTTTGTGTGATCATAACTTTAACCCCTTGCTTTGTTGTTTGTCTAAACAGGCTTGCATAGCCCTCGGCGAATACGCCAGGAGGTTCGACGAGTGGCGCCTCCAGAGGGCGCAACAGGAAGAGTCCCTCAAGAAGCTTATCCATGATAATGCCGAGGCCGTGAGGCAGATGGCTCAACTGGAGAGGGACCTCCAGCAGGCGAGGGCGGAAGCAGAGAGAGCCTCCAGGGAGAGGGTGGAGATGGAGAAGGCGGCTGCCGAGGCTGCAAAGAAGGCCCTTGAAGATGTCGAGGCCGCCAAAGCAGAGGCCGCCGCTGCTGCAGTTGCTGCCTTCATGACCGAGGGCTGGAAGACCGAAGGCCATAAAGACTGAGTGGCCTCGGTCATGGAGAGTTCTGCCGAGGGGTGGGTGAAGGGCCCCGGGGCGATGTGGTTAGCCCGAAAGGGTGAAGATTACTACGCCGGGGGGGAGTTCTTCACTCAGGCCCTCATCTACAGGAGGCTCGCCCGGCACCTGAAGATAGAGCCAACGGCCTTTGACCCGGCGGCATACGGTCTCCCCCCCCCTCCAGCCTGATATCAGAGTCCCCCTTCCCGAGGGCGTCGAGAGGCCAGAACTGGAGGATTCAGAACTCCTGAAAGAGGCCGAGGGCGATGAAGCAGAGGCTGATGTGGAGGTCATCTTGAAGCCTGCGGAAGAAGCTGCCCCCGGTGTCGACAATGCGTGATATGTACTTGTAGTGTTTGAAAACCTTTGCTTTTGTTTGTAATGCATATTCGTGTACTCTCGGCCTCGGCCACATTGTAACATATATACTTTAACTCCTTTTTTTTGTGAATGCATGCTGCCTCCAGGCTTTTCACATTTGAATGCGCCTTCTGTTTGAATGTATGCCTTCTCCTTTATGCTTTCCTCACGTATGGATGTATGGTGGTTTAGTGATGGCCGAAGGCCATGTTATTGGGACTTAGAAAATTTTTGTAAATGTAGTGTGTCATGTAGCCTTCGGCTACTGTGGAGCCCCAACTGAAATGTTGATTAGGCCGGGGGGCCAATCTTTAGGACTTAGAAAATTTTCCTCAGTGTTGATTCCTTGTGTCGCCTTCGGGTGATAGGTGCCCTCTGACTCTGCGTCACTTTTGCGAGATGCCCGGGGGCTACTCATTTAGGACTTAGAATATTTTCTAAGCGTAAATTGATGTTGAGCTTCCGGATGTAGATCCCTCCGGGTATATGAATAGGACCCTTCGGGTGATCGGGAGGCCCTTGTGTTGTATGAGTATTTGACCGAGGGCCAAATATGTGGGACTTAGAAAAATT